CGTTTGACGGACGAGATCGTTTCGAGCGCGCGCGTATACATAACTTGAAAAATATGTATTGTAAACTTCTCGAGCCACCCCTATTACGATACAGTGGCGTCGTCTGGTCGAAAATCAACTGTTCGCAACGTGCGCGTATGTTAAGTATCCGTAACGTAAACGGTCCTAATAATAATATTCGAATGTTTTTTCTCGTCACACGCTCCTAATGAAAATCTCGAGTAGAACATCCAACTCTCGTGCGGATTGTTTACACCCGTTGAGTGTATGCGTGTGCCTGCGCACTCGAAATGCAACCCTAAAAGGGTAGAATAGTTCTGAGCATTATGGCTGCGTATAATAGCGTAGTCGTCGTTAGCTGGTGAGCGATACGAACGTACGTGGGTAAAACACACACACACACACGCAAATGCTGTAATCATATCATTCTATCATCGGATACTATATACGCGCACACCGATCTCGTGGTGTTGTTTTTGTTTTTATTTTATTTTTTTAAATAAACAATTTCAATAGCTCTCGGTATCTCTCCTCTCTAATATTATATTTCTCGACCCTATACACTATAGTGGTGCCATGCGGGACATGTGTCCCGGGCCACATGGGGTAAATATCATCGTCACAGACGTACAAAAGATTGACGGCGCCTTGTTGATGACGATTCCGTAGCCCGGACGTCTGTTACGTATCAAAAAGATTATTACTATCATCGCCATCGCTACAGGCAGAACGCGTGACAAATATTACCAATAACAGCGCCATAAAGATGCACGGCCCTTTGTGAAACAGTTTTTTCGTTTTTTAATGTCGTAAGCATTAAAAATGCAACTAATTTTAGAAAATCGTGGTAAAAAGCAGTAGCGGCGGCTTTGGAAGCGTGTGTTTCGGCTCAGCTCGACTCTTTGACAGGTTTCGTGTTGTAATTAAATCATTAAATACGGTTATCACCGCGAGCAGAAGAAGGAGAAGAATGAAAGCACTTTCAGAGAAGGCAAGGCTTCTCTTTGTGTGGTCATCGATTGGCCGCCGTTCCGAATGGAGGATCTCGTTTCTTGTACCGAAAGCGAGGGCGAATAAAGAATTAAAATTAAAACGAAACAGATTTCAAAAACAGTTTCGTTTTGCAGTCTCAAAAGGTCGTAAATTTTACTCTAGAATACGTTCTAAGTGGCGGTTTCCCATTTCATATGTACTACGCCCGCGGAGTTATGAGACCAGACCGTTCGTCGAAGGGCTATCAATCAAAATGGTTTTATACATCGTGTCCCTTGTATCGTATATAACAATATATATTTATTCTTATCTAGTTTCCACGTTCAAACTAGCCGAACACATTATAGTCGCGTCGAAAACAGTCGGAATATTGGATTATGTATAGCCCGACCCCATCATACACGTGCGTGCGTAGTGCGAAAATAATACACTCGCACCCTTTACGGGCGCGCGAGTCAAACGATCCTTTTTCGATAACAACTCATTTTTTGGGCCGTTTTTTAATGGTTTTTTCGCTTACAAATAATAATAATACTACACGTTTCCCTCGATTCGTAATAATGTATTGTTATTGTATATATTATTATACTTTTGCGCACAATCGTCTCGTGTTACAGTTGATCGTCCGTAACCCTATCGGCGGTGACGACGTGTGTGCTGCTCCGGCCGAGAGTCATTGTCATCGTCGGCATGTGCTTACATATATTCCGTGTCTGTTAGCTTTGCTCGGCGAATAATGCTGTACGCGCAATAACAATAATAATAATAATAATAAAAAAAAAGGGTGTACGCGAGTCCGGACAATGTGCCCTCCTATTGTACGACGTACACCGATATGACGGCGGCACGTGATAGTGCAGAAATAATAACAAACGTTTATATTTCTATTATATTTCCATTGCGCGCGAAAACCCGTCCAGATCCAATCGTTCCGATAACGACTCAACGTTTCCCCGGGGTGTTTTTGGTGTTTTTTTTTTACGTTTTCGGTAAGGATTTATTTTTTTCACCGAAATCGTCACGGGGTTGACAACGACACAAAGTTTAACGAACCCGTCGGTACTACGTGTATCATACAATTTAAACGCGTACATCGTACGTAATATATTATTATTGTGTGCGATACGGAAAACGGATGTGTTGTATCTTAATCGTCTGTTTGTTCCGCACCGTTCGCTTCCTCCGAAAATGCGTGTACAAACGTCCAAAGAGTGTCACCGTCGCACTATTTTAATATATTATATTATTGTGCGCACACAAAGTAGGTGTTGATAGCTTTGTTCCGCGCGGTAAACATGCGGACAATGTTCGTTTTCCACTTTTTCCTCTGATAAACTCGTACGCCATGTAGAAGCGTCGTGTACACACAGCTGCAGTCTACGCACTCGACTTTTTCTGAAAGTCTCTAATCGATTTCACTTTAAGCGTTCTTCGACTGTTTCCGTCCTATTTCATGCAGTGCGACATTACTTCCGATCAAATATAAATTACGGCAGCTGCTGCTTGGGCGCTCGCAGTACGGTGTACCGTGGCATTCGTTTTGATCGAGTCGATCCGAGACTTCAATTGGTAATAATTCTCTTTCGTTGTATAAACAAATGTTTTGTCGCGCGCGAGTACAATTTACATATTATAGTAGTGGTAATACGGGATAAAGAAAAAGTCAACAACAAAGAGTAATGCGAATGGAATAATAGGCGTTTTGCATTGTGTGTCCCTCGGAGATGATGTTATTATGTTACGCGGTAAAAAAAAAATCGAGACCCCCGGCGATGTATCAATATTTCTGGTAAACGAGGAAAAGAAAAACTCGGGAGCCCATTGTTGGGCAGCCAATTTGAATTATTTACTTCCTCCGTTGAACCAACAAATGAATGTAGAATATGCCCGTCTGTCCTATATATAGGTACCTAGAAAGTCATAAATCTAGCGATTTTTTTCCCTTCGTTCTCGACCGGTATTTATTTATTTTTTACGAATTATTCGTGTTCTCCACCGCTGCTTTTCTCTCTCTCTCCCTCTCTCTCTCTCTCTTTTTTTTTTTTATTATTGTACACGGGCCGTTTACGTTCTTTCCGTGCGCATTAATATGCGAAAACCGCAGTTTTTCTCCCCGTTGGATATGAAAAAAAGTACAACAAATCTGCTATGAAAAAAAGAAATCAAGGGTGGTTACATAAAAGTCATACTATTACCCCCAACATCAGCTCGTTGTTCAACCCGACATCATAACACTTTGACATAATTTATTTGACTGTTAAGCATTTGAAAGGGAAATGCCGATTTTTAAATCATATTTTTATTAATATTTTTATTATGCAAATTATACAATAATTATTAAGTCACCATGAACATCGTGTAAATTATTCACAAGAAAAGTGGTGCTTTTTTCATTTCAACTCCCTTAGGTCGCAATCATTAAAAAGAATTATTGGAAATTAGTTTCGGTAAATATTTAAATTTCAAAAATGAATTATCAAAGTATACCTATAGAAAATAAACCATTAATCACAAGCATCACGGCCAAATGTAATTTGTCGAAAAAATAACAACCAAATAATAACTAATACAGTGATGGTAACATAATTATTGTAGAACACGGCCAGTGGGTGTTACTATTGTCCCGTGCGCATACAATAGTGTAACAATGATGTGGAGTAAAATGACACACATACCTACAGGGCGTACTAATTCGACCACCGCTGTTGTATATTTTTAAAATAATACGACTTATTTTTCTTAAGTGAAATCGTATATCAGTCAGGGAAATAAACGGGAGTACGTAGCGGTTTCAATAACAACGGGACGAGACCCGCGCTCGCGGAGCAATCTCATCTATCAGTGTTAAGCGACCCCCGAGACGTCCCGCCAAGGGATGGGATTTACTCGTGGAATGCGTGCGCGGCACAAGGTACGGGAGTCAATTAAAAAGAAAAACATCGAACGAGGTGCGGATTTAACGGACTGTGCTCGGCCGTGGCGGAAACCAATGAAAACGAGGTCGTAAATAAAACAACTGCGTCGCGAGGCAGTGCACGCATACACACAAGTGTGCTTGGCTTTGTCCCCACCTCCACCCCCGTTATGCGCAGGAGTCGGCTGTTCTCTTTTCGTGTTATATTGTTGTGACAAGCGTGGCCGGTACGTGCTGCACAAGTCTTATCAATACTCGACCAGCTAGTCGCGTTATCAACGGCGTACCGACCGTGGGACAACGGTGAGAACGTATACACGAAAGAACACGATGAAATAAATATCGTCGCTGACAGTTATAATAGAAACGACCCGTTGAATTATGAGTTTGCGGTTTGCTCCGCGGCGGCGGTGTATAATACGCTTCCTTTACGTCGCGAGAGAGGGTGAAAGAAAGGGGGAGGGAAAAAAAAACGTCCAAAGAAATCGTGTTTTCGTGGTGATTTTTACCCCTCAACCCCACCCACGGCCGAAAAACGCACACATGTAATCTGCCGCGCGCGTTTCGCGTTATCTAACATAAACTTTCGATCCGAACACTATAGGCGCGAGATTAAATCCCCGAGAACACATCACGTTCCGTTCCCCCTTTTCGTTTCGTATTTATTCTGTAGTATTTTTATTTTATCCCTGTATACGGCGGAAATCGTTTTTAAAAACCATAATAATCCTATGCAATAACTTGGACCGCACGAATGGCTTTTTTTTCTCTACCGACGAATCCGGGAGCATGCGGAATTATAAGGGGGAAAAAAATACGCAAAATCTAATAAGAACAAGTTGTTAACGAATATGTGTTTGTTATTTGTGTACTCAATCGAACGAGTACAAACATCAGTGAAACATTCGTATTTCGGCATGTGTGTGAGTGTGTGTTTAAACAAAGACTAAATTTATAAATAACACGTTCTTTCCATGCATGCGTTCATACACCCACGCTCACACCCGTAGTTATATTACTTTTTGTTTGCTTTTGTCGGATTATCATTGAAACAATTTTCGTTAATCAATTTTTTTTCACCTCGTTTTTTCAGTTCTCGACCAGGAAGACCACCGAAGAGAGCGTCGTCCGTAGGCCTTTCTCTGGCCGCGTCGGCCTCACATTTAAGTCATCAGCTGAAGAAACATCGTCTCGAAAATGGAGATTACGTCGCCGGAGTTTATGAAAACGGACATTTGCAAGGTAATTTTTATAGTGTTAAACATATTATAGTTTAATGTATAGTATATACGCAGATAGAAGGAAGAAAAACACGTTTACCGCTGCATGCACTTGTTGGCAGGGTTAGAGGTCGCGGACACGGTATTTTTTCTAACACTCTCCACAATATGGTTTTAATTTATTTATCATTATTTTTTAATTCGTATCCATGTTATGAGAGATATTTTTTCATCTTTTCGATCGTGTTCTTTCGTTGTCAGACGCCGTTTAATGATAAACGATGTACGATTCGTTTTCTATGTATTATATTAATTTAATAACAGCGTTCATTTGGTAATTTTAAAGTAAATGTATAAAGAATCATTTAATCAGTTCTTATGCTATGAGTTTGGTTGGTTAGTTAGCGTTGTACGTACTAAATTAATGGGTATACTCGACGAATACTTTTTAATTTAACTAATTAGTGAAGTGTCTTATAACACGGAAATAATTGCCGTTACAGTTTTTTTCTCTTTCTTTCGGGAATAATGATTATTTATCGTAGTCCATGCAATGAGCATACAATGATAAGTATATCCCCGATCAAGTATTGTAATGATCTTGAATTGTTTGTAATTTGTACCTATACCAAAAAAATACGAATTCGAATGGTTTTTGAAAACACGCATAGACATTACAATTGTTGTTATAGAAAAAAAAAACCCACACACTTGTCCGATTTCATTTTTTTATAAAAAATTAATAATAACCGAAATCCAATGATTTTTAGCTTCTTCTCTCCCCCTTCCCTCGAATAATTGTTTACCGTCCAAAAGTGGGTATTATCGTCTTTTTCTCAATGCTGCGGATTATACATATGTATACGTTATACGTGCGTTGTTCTTTTTCGTTTCCCTCGTCTTTTGTACAGACATATCGTTACAATATTTTTATTCGGCCGCAGCTGTTCGGCGATCAATCATCTGACAAAAGGAGAACACTCGTGTGCATGCCCATTATACTTGTGTTTAGTTTATAACATTTATAACATTGCCTCGTGAATTTTTTTTCTCTCAAACGATACTTATTTTTCCCTTGTCTCCAAGAACCACCGGTGCGGGTATCACGAATTCGCATATTTTATTTTTTTTTGCTGCAAAATTACATAATCACGTTAATTAAAAGCCGACGAGGTGCGCGCGTCCGCTTTGCACCCTTGATCTGGCGCGCGCGCATCTTCAATCGTCGACAGAAAAGTGCATTAGATTTAATTTAAAATGAAAACGGGGAAAAAATACATACCCACATATATATGTATATCTCGTGATATTTCTCTCCGGGTATTATATAATCAAGAGTTTTTCCGTTAAGAACGTGCACGGTTCGTTAAGCACGCGTCTGCTGTCGTCACCATCACGCTGCTTGCGCCCAAAGACATCGGACACTGTGTCTTTTGAGCGTCGGGTTACCGAGAGAAATGTGCGAAAACGGGTGTGTAAAAAATTAAAGCTCGTTTTTTCGAAAGAGAAACAAAATCCGACTGCAACGGTCGCCTCGAAAACTTCCTGTCGACGTGACCATGCCAGTGACGGCGCGCGACGTTGACGCGCTACCATACTACATCATGTTCGACCAACAGTACAATACAATAATAACAATATTATAATACTACTACTGTGTACGAGTCGCGCGCGTAATAGAAACAAAAAAACGGGGTCCGTTTCTCACACACAGGATAGACGCACTTAAAACGTATCAATAGTGCGTTTCCTGTCACCCGAATAATAATAATACGTACACTGTTGCGCGTTGTTTTTATTCCACGCCGGTTTTTTTTTTATTTATTTATTTTTTTATTATTATTGTTTAATTCCATTATTATGGTTCAATTGGCGAAGCACTGCGTATACACGCGGTAACACACGCGCGTATGTACACATACAGTAGCAATACATGCCCACGGATAGGTATACGCGCGCGTACAGTGCGTCCCGTTCGGACAATGCGAACTTTTGTTGTTTTTTTCGCTCGTTATCGTTAATTGGACACACGCACACACACGTATATAGTGTATACATTTACATGTCTAATAACCACCGAATGACACATTGCCCCCCTCGTTTCCCCGGTGTACAGTTGTTATTGTTGTATTACTTTTTAAACAAACCGTATCGATTGTACTAACTCCTACTACCCCTTATCCGTCCCCACCCCATCTCGTGGCGAACCGTTGTTCGCGTCACTTTTCAAGACTTACGCCGTAGCTCGTGTGGCTACGAGTAAACACAACGAGCGGTCATACAAGTGCGTGGTGGTGGTGATGGTGGCGGCGGTGTACAATATGCGCGTGTACCATATATTATGTATAATATGTGTATTTTTTAATTTCAAATATACTATTAACGCTGTACCGCATACACACACACACACACACACACACACTCACATATATATATAAGTACGTGTGCAATTAAAAACTCGTTCCCGTGTATGCTTAATAATAAGAAATAACAGTATACGCACGCGGTTAAGCGTTCTTCTTTAAAAAGCCTTTTCACGTATTCACGCACACGCGCGTACTGTTCACACACTACCGGACGGACACGCGCGCCACTATTACAGCGCTCGTCTTTGCGTGTATGTGTAGTTTTGTTGTTTTGAACGTTGTACTTTATTTACACTGGTGACGGGAAAAAGGGTTGAAAAATGACGAGTGTTTCACCTGGACTACTCCTGCTGCAAAAGCGCGGGGGCGACGACGGCTTTTGTTGCCGACTTTATTTTTTTAATTTTTTTTTAATTGGTCTGCCGCGTGTGGAGGGTCCGCGACGACTTGTTTCCTAATAAACCGAAGTATTGGTAGCTCGTCGCTCAATGAATCGACACAATCGTTTATAAAAACACAATACCGCGCTTCGCTTGGTTGCCGTTTTTTTTTTTTTATTCTATTTTCCTGTTTTCACACGCCCTCTCCGCGCGTGCTACGTCAAAGTTCGAAATAAATATAAGCACGTGAATATGTGTATGTGTATGTGTGTAATGATTATATGGCGTGTATACAAAATGTCTTGGTCGACAAGAAATTATAATAAAAAATACACCGCACCTTGTCGGCGTGTCATTCGAAAAATAAAGACCGCGGACGGCGACTTTTACGCGATGTCGTCGTCACACGGTCGGTATGAACGATAATAATAATATAATAATGAGATAATAATGACTGTACCGTACCGCTATTATTCTTGTTAAATATTCGATATGAAACACTGCAGCCATTGAGTCTTGTGTGGGCTATCGGGGCTTTCGTGAAGACAGGAAATACGTGTATTTGTTTGGTGGATATACCGTAAATAATCTCACTCGAGACGTATACATAGCGCAGGAGAACAAGACTGCATCACACAAGTCTCCTTAGGGATAATTGAACGAGATTCTTTTCATGTGTACATATATATTCCCCCCCCCCCCCCCCATGTGTGTGCAATATCTTGCAACGGTGGCGGACGCGTTGAGTTTTTCTAAACGTTAGTATTCGCGTGTTTCACACAATGGTCACGCAATAGTCGAAAACAGTGTGTGTATGATATCGGTGTGCTCGCGTTCTGGCTATTGCACCCGATTATTATTAACGGTACACACATGGAATATGTTTTGCGCTAAAATCTCCATCCGCCCCTTTTTTCCTGTGTGCACGATGTGTCAAAGGGGTCGTTAAACCTTGGTCATCGCCACCGTCGTGTACACATGAACGTTTTACCGTCGTCGCATTGCGTTGTGTGTATTGCGCGAAATCAGTATGGGAAATCGTTTTGTTTGGGTCGCCAGACGTGACAGTACAGTTTTTTTTTCGTTTACCTAAGACGGCTAAAACGGATCTAACGCTCGGAAGGAACTAATTTGCCGGAAACGAGAAAAAATTTATTTTACATATAATAGAGTCGTTCAAAGTAAAAAACAAATCGAACTATCGAATTATAATACACTCGACTAGACAACTGGATACGCTATATAATATAATCTGCTGACACGGCACCAGAATTCATTATACTATACATACCGTGCTATGAACTCGGAGGATACCTTTTAGACCGTTATTCACCACCTATCTACTGCGCGACCGACAAGATTTCTGTTGGACTTAATTTTTTTTTCACCTCGAAGTGGTTTTTATTATTCCAGCATGGAAGGTTATTATAGCGAGTTCTTCCGTAGCGATGTGCACCGCAGATGTTAAAAACGTACAATCCGGTACACGGCCTCCAGGTCGATACGTGCGGTGTAACGTGTACATTATACGATTTTGTACGATGGTCGTTTTATCGAGATACATAGAAATGAGACGAAAATATTTTGTAGAAAATCAAACAGGATAGTTAACAACCGTCGGCTAATGATTGTCTGAACATGCGATATCGTCGATGTATAATATATATAAACAACTGCTGCGCCGATTCTGGTCGGGCAACCTGTGCACCCTGCGAATTATGACGACGGTGCGTTTGACACTAATACGCATGCATATTGTTGTACGAAGTATACTTGTTTTATTTTCAAATTCTGTTCGTATTATAAGTGTCCATCAGCGCTCTAAGAACGAACGTAATATACTACGAGACTGACACTTTTGGAAGTTTTGCACGATGATGTTTTAAAAGTTGCACGCGATTTTCCGTGGAAGCCGAAACGAATAAGATAGTAATAATATTGCAATACGAAGAACGGTGTGCCTTGTACAGTACAAGTAATGCGATCAATAAATGAATAGTTATGAATCGCGTTTCATCAAAATCCCTTGAGCGAGCGGTGGTTTAATAATGAGTCCGTGTGAAGTATATACTCGTAATAGTATTTGTAGCGACACCAGAGCTCCGTTTAATGTTTTTGTGGAACGCAAATTTTACATTGTGCCGTAATAATATCGTATAAAGACTGGCTGCTCTATGTCGCCGTCATTTTTACGCTGTTATGACGTACGCGAGACTGACGGTCATCTCTTTCAACGCTGTGAAATGATAACGTGCATGAGCACGTTATCACCGAGG